AAATTCATGATGCCCATTAGGTAAAATGCAAATTAACAATGAACATGAGAAATACTGTGAGATGGACTACAGCCATATTTGGGTTTATGAGTTAGCTGACTTCATCTAGTCACAAATGTCCAAAAGATTCAAAGTACAACTTTATGTTCCTTAAATTATAATTAATTTATAAGGAAAGTAATCACTATGTTCAACATTATAAAGCAGAATAGCTAGTTGAGCAATTTTTTTCCATGTATAATGCTAAAATGTATCCCTCACCCTTTCATTTAACAGATATTTATTGAGTCCATAAAATATGTCAGTATTTGGTTAAATGCAACAATGGTGAGTCACTGACTTCATTGATTTTGTCGTCTAGTACAAGTCAAAAAGTAGGATTTAAATCATGTTTTAAAAGTGTTTTAACAGCAGAAATACAGTGTGCTCTTTGGACAAGTAAGAGCCATGATAATCCAGACTTGGGGCCAATGACATCTTCCCTAAAAAAGTGAAGATTTGAGCTGCACCTTCAGGGGTCAGGAGAATTTGGCCTGGAAAAGATGGGTAGTTGCTGAGGAACCACCACCTATAAATATTTAGATGGGAGGGAGGAACTTAAAGTCACTAGGGAATCACTGAAGGCCTTTAAGCAGGGCAAGGACACAAATGGATTTTCTAAAATGAGAAAGATCATTTTGACTAAGAGAAGGACCAGGTCGAGAGCCAATGAAGTAAACTAAGAGAAAGCAAGAAGGACATCCTGATACAGAAGGTGGACTGTCATGATGAAAAGATGTGATCTTTATTATCCGGAGAAATGAATGCTATTGATTTAATACATACAGAAGAAGAGGACTAAGGCGAGCTATCATGACTTCAGGTAAATTGATCGGCAGGTTTGGGGGCAAGGAAAAATACTGGTGAGCTCTATTCTGGACCCAGGTACAGAATCTGTAAATATTGATTTATTTCCCCTAGACAACCTACATCTAGTTGTTCAGGAAAGACTATAAAGGCAGAACGGACAAAGGCAGATACTTTATTACAAAATAAATTTTTAAAAAATGGTGCCATGGCGGTCCTCCCTGGTAGCGCAGCGGGTTAAAGCACAGCACTAAGAAGCTAAAGCCACTTCCGCATGAGTTTGATTCCCGCCTGCCCCGGAGGGGACCACATGGCGTGGCATACCTCTCCTGACCCGCCCACTGCTCCCCTCAGCAGTGTACTTCGTCGATCTGCCTGTTCTGCTCTCCACTCTGTCTCTGGTGTAGCCTCTCACCGCCCCTGAGCCTCTGACCTGTACCCCAGTTCTGTATGCACAAATAAATAAATCTTAAAAAAAAAAAATGGTGCCATGGCAACATGTTAATTTGTATGTTTTATATACATGTCATTTTTTTCTCCATAAAAATAAAAGTAGGGCCCTCCCTGGTGGCGCAGCGGGTTAAAGCACAGCACTGAGAATCTAAAGCCGCTTCCCCATGAGTTCGATTCCCGCCTGCCCCGGAGGGGACCACGTGGCGTGGCAGACCTCTCCTGACCCGCCCGCTGCTCCCCTCAGCAGTGTACTTCCTCTATCTGCCTGTTCTGTTCCCCACTCTGTCTCTGGTGAAGCCTCTCACCACCCCTGAGCCTCTGGCCTGTACCCCAGTTCTGTATGCACAAATAAATAAATCTTTAAAAAAAAAAAAAATAAATAAATAAATAAATAAAAGTAAATATGAGAATATTTTGACTATTTTACCTGCTTTTAAAAGTACACTGGAAGGTGACCTTTTGATGTAAGGTATTCTTTTTATTGCATGATAGCAATTTTATTATCTTATCAATAACATTAACAGGTAATAGATAGTGATCTAATTTAAATCATATTATGTTGCTTTGTCTTTTAAATTAACAGATATACTCCAATATGGCCATTGGTTTTAAATTAACATAATAATGCCCAAGTATGAATAATTATAGGAAGATGTTTATTTCAAAAGGAAATGTTAAAAGAACAAAGTCAACCATGAATATGTGCATAGTGTCCTTTCTTAGATCTAGGTGTTGGACAATGCAGTCTGCGGAGTGGAGTTATCATTATGAAGCTGGCTACTTTTTTTCAGTATAGCAATGCATACTGAAGTCACATATTAGTGCCAATTAACCAGCATTGATTTTATAATTTGATTAGCAGGTTATAGAGAGCCTAAGAAGGGCAATGTCCTCAAAGTCTAAAATACAATCTCCTATACTTGGGAAAGCAAATATAATCATTTAGAAAGTGTGAATTCTGAACTCTGTGACCTGGTATTCTGTTAAATGGGGATATTAATAAATAATACAGGTGTGGTAATAAGAATTAATTGACATAATCCTTAGGAAAGGTTTTCTATAAAACCAAGAATCTGGGCCCTCCCTGATGGTGCAATGGGTTAAAGCACAGCACTATGAAGTTAGCCACAACCACCTCAGCACGAATTTAATCCCCTGCCAGGGAGGTGCCCCACATGGCATGGCAGACCTCTCCTGTCTTGCCCTCTGCTCCCCACTCTGTCTCTAGTGACTCCGGTTACTGGTCCTATACCTCTGGCATTACCCCAATTCTGTATGCATAAATAAAAATAAATAAATTTTAAAAAGAAAACCAAGAATCTAAGATTAAATCTTAAACTGAAAGAGCACCCTACTAGTCGCTGAAGTCAAGGTATTACTAAGGGACAGATAATGGAGATTTAAGAGTAAAACTAAAAGCAGGACTAGAGGAAATTAAAACTGGCTCACACATTCTATCTCACTGAGCTCAAACATCTCAGAAGTAGGCTCAGGAGATCAGGGCAAATATAGATAAGGGTTAAGATAAGATTTCTGACTAGGCAATGTGGTGAGCTTTACTCTGAGCATCTCGGGCTCAGGCTTGTGTAGAAGAAAATAATTTTGACTCTATTTTAAAGCAAGAGGAGGGATTTAATCCAGGAAAAAGCTGAAGTTAAAGATAGGGATGGGTGAATATTGTGTCACAGATAAGTCAACTTACACATTAGCATAAGTGTGCCGGAAAAGGTGAGAATTATCCACTACAAGGAAAATCAGAACTCCCTGTCCTGATCTGCATTTGGAATATGTTTGCATCTCACAATCATTTTTTTTAAATCATAAATAAGCATTGTGTTTTTGAAATAGTTGAGTGGCTTACCTGAAAGATATGCTGTCTTACTACAGTGCTGATTACTGTGATTGCCATGAAAAAATTTTAATGGGCATAATGCCCCTGATATAAAAGTGTCTTTACCTTATTTATAGATCAAATTATAGTTAGGCAAATACAAATATATTTGGTCTCTTCTTGTTTTCTGGTAAAGACAAAACTTCAACATGTTTAATTTTAATTCATTCTATTACATATCTAAAATGAGGACAGAAACAAAACTTAATTTGTAGCAAATATTCTAGTATCTCCACAGCAAAGAAGGTAGGATTGTTGCCATAAGAAGTTACTTTCTATTAGGATGCTACAATGAAAGAGGATTCCCCTCCTCCAACTTGCCCTCACTCCTTCTCACCATTAATCTATAGGAGAGAGGAAATAAGAATGTCTATCTCACTTTGAAAATAGATATCCTAAATCTTTAAGCTCCTATTTTCCATATTCAAATCTATTGTTGGTTAGTCTTCTCTCTCTCTTTTTTAATTCTATTGCTTGTTTTAATTGTACCTATTACACTTTTTCTGGTGGAAGTTACTTCCCAGATTCCATTTCAAAGGGCAACAAATGTCTCATTAATTTTATTGTCCCGGTGGTCTGACACTTCCTAAGGTATTTCCAATTCAAAACAACAGAGGGGTACATTGTAGCTTTTCGGAGAAAAGGTTGAACAAGAATGGCTGCTATTACCCTCTGAGAACACAGTATGGGTGGCTTGTCCTGTGGTGCCCTGTGAGACGAGGCTGGTTTTTCAGAAACATATCAGGTCTTCTGACAATTCCTGGTGCCAACCGGAGACATCTGCCTCTTATTGCTATAATATGCACCTTGGTATGGAACAGAGGCAGCTATCTAACTCTTATTGCTACAACATGCAACCACATTTTTCCTCATAGACTAAGATCATCTAGTATGACAATGTACTTACACAAAGGCAATTTAATTTCACTAAGCACAACTAATTTATATCTGGCTTCACAGGCAAACTGTCTTTCAGGCTAAGAAAAATTAAAAAGAAAAAAGCTCTAAAAAGGGAAGATTAATTCTATTAATCCCTCTGGAGGAATGGGATCTGATATTCCCATTTGATCAGCTGCAAAACTGCAAAGTTAATAATAACAGACACTAGGGAAGATTGTAGAGGACACTGACTTGGAGAATCAAAAAGTTAATGGAAGACACCTCTAATGTAATTTTATAGATTCTCCTTTCAACTCAGAGACAACATTTTTACAACCACTTGGACATCAGTTAGAGTTCTCACCTTCTTGGATAGGTGGGAGTATGTACTCTGCAGGGCTGAAGAGATCTTCCTTGAGATTCTGGAGAGTTGTGCTCATGTGGGCACCACTCACTTGGCCTACCCCAACAGAGCAAGGTATTTGCAGGACAGTGAAAAGACCAACAAATGCTTCAAGGTACTGGGAACCCACAAGGATTTCAAATGTAGTTTTGGTTCAGTTACTCTGATCCCCAAGTATCTTTTTGAAAGTCTTTTCTAGTTGTTATTGGCATTCTTTTCATCTCAATGAAGACCATTCTGTGATGAGCTTCGGGCACACAGCAGTCAACAAAAAGCTACAGCTCATTTTGTTACATCATACCCAACAATGAAACAAGTACAAGGAACTATCTTTGGACTGGAATGCAGGGCTATGGATTTAAAAGTATTAACATCTCAACGTTTGGTAGAGAAACAATACAAATAAATTCAAAAACAAAAATGTGTGAGACGAATATCACTAGCCTCTTTTATTTTGTTCTAACAAGATAATGGCTGTTTTCAATGTTTGCTTAACCTTTGCCTCTCCCCTATTGTTCCACGACTTACCTGCAGTTGGAGAGGGCCTAAGCCTGGTGTTGCTGCGGCAGCAGCTGCCATGGTAGTTGGGATCAGCTGAACAGGGTAAGGGTCACCTAAGTGAGAGAATAATAGAGGCGTCAGCACCTTTTATCTACTCTCCACCTGCAAATTAAACTCATGTGTTCACTCCTTCCAAAAGCCTTCTTTTGTGTGTCTTGCTGGGGCCTAATGAAAAGCTCTATTGTACAGCCTTTTACTAGCACTCTTTTCACAATCCTGGCTGAGAGAGGAATGTGAATAAAAGGCACAAGCAATTAAGGCGGAAACCTCATCCTTTTTTCATGATGTATTTAGGAAAATGGGAGGAAAAAAGTACGCATTGATCAGAGAGCTGCACTTTACAACACACACACATACACACACACCTCACTATCTTGATATGCGCACACTGACTCCTCAGCAAATTTAGAATGTTGGTATAAAAGGAACTTAACTAAACTGAACTCTGCTTTAACAAATGAAACTGTAAAGATGTATGCCACGTAGGTTATTTTTTGAATGCTATGCTACTGTCTTCAGTAACCAAATTTATGGTAAACACTATGCATTTTGAAGTTATATAATTATTGGTATCTTTATTGTTCCAGAAACAAATGCCTATGAAAAATAAAGGATGATTGAATAAAAGGGATCCATTGTATACTAAAGGATGAAATTGGACTTTTAGTGGTGAACTCAATGTAGCTATACATGTGCTGATTTATACTGAGGCATGACTGAAACCTATATGCAGTTCAAGACATTTTTTAAATATATAGACAGAAGATAATTGGTTTATTTCCAAAGGATTTTTGACTGTGAGACTAAAAAAAAATCATAGTAATTCAAAATTAATCTTAAAATTATAATAATATGATCCAGTTACAAACACAAACATATATTCATATATATATACATATGGATCATAATGTTTGTGATACAAGTACATGTACTTGTCAACTTAATAAGAAGCTTAGCAGACTTTTTGCATGGATCTCAATGATATGCTACAACAGGTATGTATATTATTACTCGTCTAAAACATGAACCACAAGGTAATTGGAAACCACTATAAGAACAATTTTCTAATATGTAAAACTTTTTTTTTAAAAATCTGATTTTTAACTAGTTCAATATCAAGCATAACTGAAAATACCCCAGTTAATATGTTCATTCAAAAATACTAAGCACCTCCTCTGTGTTATGCATTCCTTTTGACACAAAAAATAGAGTCTTAATTAAAGAAGAATAATATACAGAAGCACATTTACTGGCGATTTAATGAGGTTTAAAGCTTTGGGGGTTCTGGGAAATGCCCTAGCAATACAGCAGGAGGCTATGTTTTCATATTTGCCAGCTTTCTTAATTTTTATAAATGAATATTCTCTTTTGCACTTAAATGCATACATAGGAAATTCATGAATACATCATTTTCATATTTTCACTCTTGCAGAGATCCCTCTAAATTATATTTTTCAAGATTCAAAATATAGAAGAGGCCCTGGATAACATCAAAAAAAAAAAAAACAATCCTGAAGAAATAACATGATTTGTGCACTTGGATTAGTTACATGTTACATTGCTTAAAGCTGCAATTTCAAGAATCTGTTGACAAGATGAAGTGAGGACTCACTATACCTGAATTTACTTCTGTGATTTGACCTTCCTACATCTTACAGATGATTTGATGATGAGGATAAATTATAATGACTGGATTACACTGTGGGTATTCCAAACCTGGTCTAAGAGGTCAAAAGACAGCCTCCAAGGAAAAGTCATATGTAACTTAAAAGTGGAACTAAGTGTGAGCTAGAAGGCAAAGGAGATAAGGACACATTCTAGGAAGGGAAATAATTACCATGAAGACTCAGTCACATGGGAGTATTTCTTGTCATAGCCAAGAGTCTACCTTGCTGAAGTTCAGCATATGGGTAGGGCAACAGGTAAGTATGGTTGATGAGGGAATGAGGCCAGAAACAGTAGTAAAGATTCCAAAGTTTGGGGCTCTCCCTGGTGGTGCAAGGGGTTGAAGTGCAGCACTATTGAGCTATCTGAAGCCAATGTAGCATGAGATCAATCCTTGGCCAGAGAGGTGACCCACATGGTACAGCAGACCTCTCCTGACCCACCCACTGCTTCCCTCAGCAGTGCCTGTTCTGCTCCCTAGTCTGTATCTGGTGAAGCCTCTCACCCTCCTCCAGCTCTGGCCTACATCCCAGTTCTTATATGCATACTAAGTTAATCTTTTTAAAAAGAATCTAAATTGTACACTGTAACTGTATGCTAAATGGAACAATGAATATGGAATAGAAAACCTGGGCTAGAGGCTGAAAGCTATAACCTACAGTAAAAGGATAGAACATATATAATGAATGTGAATAAAGGTTTGGCCTAGGATTGGTGACATTGGGATAGAGGACCATGGGGTGATTCAAGTGACATTTAAGAACTGGAAAACTGAATAACTGGAACATATGATCGGAGAATGGTACCATTTATTGGGTTTGTGAAGGTGGATGAGAAGAACGGTTTCTGTGTTGTGCCTGGTATGGAGGAGAGGAGGCAGGCACAAACAAAGAGTTCTGTTTGGGACATTTTTAGTGTAAAATTATTAGAAACCCCAAAACAGGTGTTCACTGAGAACATGTAGGATTTTAAACATGTAGGATTTTAAGGGAGAAATCAACACAGGAGACATAACCTTGACACTGGTCAGCCTATATCTGTAATTAAAAGGTTTAAGTCTTCATGAAACCATTTAGGACCATTAACTGTATATTAAACAAAAATGGTAAGAGTTCTGAGGACTGTCATTTAGGATATACTAATCTTCATAGTCAGGGAGATAAGCAATAACTGAGCAAAAAAACTGAGGAGAAAGTTTTCCACAAGTCATGCAAAGAGATATATTTTAAAAGAGCCATCTGTTTCTTCAAATGCTGGATTCAGTGATGCCAGTGACTTCTACAAGGGCAACCTTAGGGACGTGGAGGGTGAGAAAACCAGCCTGTCACGGGTATGCTCAAGAATATGATTGAGATGATTGAAAGTAGATCCTGAGGCAGGAAGGTTACAGTCTGCTTTTCAAAGTTAAGTTCTTGAAGAACAGCATTGGCATCACCTAGAAGATTCTCAGAAAAGCACAGTTTTAGACCCCACCCCAAATTTATGGCAGGCAGCTTCTGTGATGGAACCCTGCTTCTTGCTATTGGTGACTTTGTGTAATTAATTCCTTCTCTTTGAACAAAAGGTAATCGTGATGAAGCACTATTTTTGAGATTAGGTTATAAAATAAAGACTACTTCTATTTGGCTTACCCTACCCTCTCCCATCTCTCGTTAGAGTATCCACTATGGTGTGAGCTGCCCTGTGAGAAGACCACAAAGCAAAGAAATGATGTCTTCCACTAGCAGCACCAATGAGGTCTGCTAGAAACTCTGCAAATCAAGCCTAAGCCTACACCTTGACTGCACCTATGTAAAAGATCCTGAGAGAGAGGTATGTGTCCAAATAAGTACTTGTTGCTTTAAGACACTAAGTTTTGGAACAATTTGTTACAGTCACAAGCATGTACCTTCTGAGTTAGAATTCAAACTTTGACTAGGTTCCCAGATGATTCAAATATATTTGAGAAGTGCTGGCAACAGGCAATTATACCAAGGTATTTTGCAAAAGTTAATGGGGCATGCATTTTCAAGTAAATTTTATTAAAAACAAATATACTTGTAAAATTTTTCTCAAGTTTGTATACCAATGAGAAAGGTCAGGTATAAGGGCAGAAACTGATTGTACGGAAGAGAAGACAATGTCACATGATAAGACAACTTAATCACCTGGTGTTTTTAATATTTCATCGAGAACACACTAGCTGATGATAGTTAACGAATTAACTATGCAAGCTAGTTTGAAATTTGCCCTAACTAACTAAGCAAATAGAAAAACCAAAACCTAAAACATTAAACTTTTAAGATAACTAAACACACTTAGATCTTTAAAAACTGAATTGGCATTTAAGCGCACTAGCTAAAATAACAAATATTACATAGTATGATCAACAGAACTGGCAAATCTTTAAAACTATACAATTCATGAGTGTTCCTTGTTTAAAGAAGATAATCTTGAAATTAAATACTACATAAGTACAGACGTGATTTTCAGCAGTAATTTGACTTACATAAATTAATTTCTCTGTTGTAAATTAATCTGTTAATAAGCACTTGTAATATCTACCATGTGCCCAGAACTCTGCTGGGATGGTGGGAAGACAAAAATCCAAAGCTAGACAAACCTGTTCTCTTATCTACTACACATGGTCCACTTTTTCTAGGTAAGGGCTTATCTGAGCAGTACTGATCAGCAGTGAGTGCTAGAGGAGTCAGGGAGAACCAATTCCAGACTTCGAGCTTTAGAAAACAGTAAAGGTGGAAATAAGAGTGAACCCACCTTTGAAGATCTGCAGGTGTAGGATGCAGAGGTGTTTTAGGTGTAGTGAAATGCATGCTCAAAGGTGAAGAGAAAACCACTTTTATAAATAGGTGACAGAATAAAGTGGAGAAAAAAGAGACTGAAGGCAGGGAGTTAGGACACTTCATATTCTAGACATGATGATACTTGGATAAAAAAGGTGATGCCTATCAAGTGAAGTTTCAACAAGCAGAATCGGGGAGGGGGGGTGAAAGTAGTAGGAGGTCTTAATGATGTCCCCAGATGTCTGACTTTGTGACAGAAACTTAATCACAAGTTTGAATTGATAGCTAATATCCATTTAGGTGTTTGGGGCACTTTAAATTACTAGCATCCAATTGTTAGTAAGAAATTTAATATATATGCACATTTAAAATTTGTTGGTTACCTTTAGTCTAGATAATTAAAGTCTAGATTAGTCTGTAGCAGTTTTAAAACAGTACATATTAGGAATGCCCTCAACTATGTATGAAATGATGAGATACTCTCTTTGGTGACACCTTGGATGGACGTTGGGTGATCATGCTAAGCAAAATAAGTCAGAAAATGAAAGACATTTACCTGATGGTTTCTTTCATGTATGAGATATAGATAACTAATGAAGCAATTA